ATAAATTGATTAAGGTCCAATTAATGTTTTTCAATTATCAAAAGATTTATGATGTTGAGAATGGAGAGGATACCATACCCTGTATGCATTGGCACTTATAGTCATATTTCTTCAACCATTTAACATACTCACCAAAAATTCATAATTATTTTGTCTCTAAAATCATTTTTTTAGGTGACTGTCAAAAAAAAACTTTATTTCTAGAATGAATTTTTACTAAAATACCCTTTTCTGTATTAAGGATTTCTTGGTTAAATATTTTGAGCCCCTTGGCTCCATATCCTCAGTCATTGATGGTAGTCATTCAAAATTTCACAAATACGTTCCGGGTCAATGTCCAATATCCATAACTAAAGCATGGTTTTTGACTGACATATACACATTTGAAATTTATAGGCATTTTCATTTGAACTTAAAATTATAATCACAATTACAGTTCACTACCCTAAAACCAATAACTAAAGTAGTATGGACTCAAATAATACCACTTTGTGAACTTTGAATGTTTCTGTTTAAGATGTGCGCAAGGTCTTTCTTTGCAAACACAATGTATTCACTGAGGCGAAAAGTATTCTAGAGTTTAAGATTTTGAAAACAATTCCTCAGGATCATAATTATTTTAGGTCACTTAAACTTTGACTCTAGAATACTGTTCAACTCTGTAAAATAATGAACTTTTTGTTGCAGTTTCTAAATTTCCAATAATTTGGTGAATATGATGTGATTTATATTTAAAATTCAAAATATATACTTTTTTCTGGATGTCAGCTATAAAATTATTAAACAAAGAATATTAAAATACCTGTTTATGACTTTAAAACGTACAAAAAACGTAGCAAAGCAACACTTGTATAAAAGTGACTTACGACAGTTTTCCTTTTAACCCTCGAGATGTGCACTGGTACAATGTAGATTGCTCAATTAGGCGAGTTTAATCTTGTTGGTAACTAAGAGACTTTCCTTGGGATCAAGTTTTATTCCACAATTTAACCACGGTACTCAATAGTTATCACTCAGCATAAGGTAGCATACACAAAGCCATATCGATTTTTAGTTTTTTTGTCATAGATAATTCATTTGCAAACGTACAAATCGTTATTTGTCTAAATAATTTAAATCATGTGTATTTCAACAAACTATGTCTCTGGCATTTATAAGGACACTAGCTTTTTAAAGCATACACTAAACTATTATATACGTTTTGCAAAACTCGGTGTCAACCAATATTATATGCGACGGCCAACACAGAAAGAGTTGACTCTTCAACGTGACCCTTTTAATTAACATTGTATGAAATAAAATAATTTGTCATTCATAATAATGTTTGAATTTTAATGCCCGTGAAATCGTTATTTTAAGACTATTTATAATTAATTTAATATAAAAGGATCATGAACGTTCATGCATGGATATTAAGGTGAAAAACAAAATGCATTATTATTGACACAGTTTAAAATTTATACTTTAAGCACAGTGAAATCCAAAATGATATGTATATATACCAATCATAAGTCCCTGTTTAACCAATACCTTTCCCTTGACGAAAATCATGTTTTACATAAGGAAGGAGCCTAGTAAAATGTTAAATGGCGGCAAATCGATGAAAATATCTTATTATTACAAAAAAAACAACATTTGAATAAAGAACAAAATATTACTATAAAGACAAGATATGTACATGTGAGACTGTTTACAAATTAAAAAAGCATTTGAAAACAGTTAATGCTATATGTCCATCTTTAAATAACTGAAAAATACATTTACATTGACTTTATTAGATTTTATAATGTTATATTAACTACATTGATGGTAATTTTATATCACATATTCACAAATCAGTTCAATATCTTATTTAGGGTAGATGTGTTATTTCTTTTCATACGTCCGTTTCAAACATGGGTCAAATTTTAATTCCTCCCCTGGCAGGCGGGCGGACGTTGTCAAATTTTGTCCGGAACATATATCCTACACGCAAGGAGGAATTCCAATGACACTTCATAGCAATGTTCACCAATATGAGAATCTGTTTCGCGCACATAAATCAGGGGTGCGTTCCACAAACGTACTTACGTTATCGTAACTCGAGTTTGATCGTTACTTTTGTGAAAGAAAAACTTACGTATTTATTTTCGTTTCACTGAACTTTCTTAGCTACGCATTAAGTCGCATTTGCATAAGTTTAAACGTAAAGTCATGCTCACTTATTATTAGCGTAAATTGCACGTTTTGATAAGTGAAACGCAACAAACGTAAATTTACGTTTTGCGTAAGTCCAAATTTACGTAAAAAGGTACGCAAGATTGACGGAATGTTAGTGAACGCTCGCCATATCTCCAGGTAAATGGTTAAGGTCACACTAAGATGTCATTGAAAAACGCTTGACTGTCCTGAGCAGACCTTCTACATGCATAAAGGGATTTCAATATAACTTGGCACATATGCTCACAATTGTCAGCCGCAAAGTTGCGAGCAAAATTAAGGTCCCTGCGGCGAAGGTCAAGGTCACACATATGGGGTCAAAGTTCAGATAAAAATATGAAAATGTGTATTTGGACCATATAGTCATCATTTATTGAGGGATTGAAACACAATTGTCATTATTATGACTACTGGTGTAAAACATGTGATTTCAGTTAATATATGCAAGATCAAGGTCATTAAATATGATAGTCAAGGTTACTCAAGATGATAAATTATAGAGATTTTGTCCAGAGTATATCTCTTACAAATTTTTAGGGATTCATATAAAACTTCATTGAAATGTTTGCAACTATAAGAAGCAGTGTCATGTGCATAAACTAGAGTTTTAGGTGAAAGGTCAAGGTCAAACTTAGAGGTCATAAAAACACTTGCCGGAGCAATACCTCTACATGCATAAAGGGATTTTAATATAATAAGCACAAATGTTCACCTCTGAAAGGTGGAATGTTGCATGTAAAATTTAGGTCCCTGCAGCCAAGATCAAACCACAAATAGGGTCAAAGTTCAGATTAAAATATGAAATGTATATTCGGACCATTTACTAATCATTTATTGGGGGATTGAACACAAATGGTCATTATCATGACTACTGTTGTGAAACAAATAATTAAGGTTAATATTTGCACGGTCAAGGTCACTCAAGATGAAGACAAAATATTGTTTTTTTTTCCAGAGAATATATCCTCTACGCATAGTGGATTCTTATGAAACTTCATAGAAATAATCACCACTTTGAGAAGCAGTGTCACGTGCATTAATCATGTGTCTAGATTAAAGGTTAAGGTTACACTTTTCTTGTAGGTATTTCTTGTTTTTTTGATATACAGATTTTCAAGTGAGACCAGGGGTGTAATATCTGATGCCAAAATTGAATTTTGATCTCAGCTGACCTACTTTTGATATTATTGATCTTAGTCGACCTACGTTCTTGCTTTTTGACGTACGGACACCACAGAATTTGGACTTAGGGTGTAACTTATGATGTCAAATCAAATTTTGATATAATCTGATATACTGTTGATATTTTTGATATCGCTTGACCTACGTTTTTGATTTTTGACATACATACTTGAATCTTTGGTGTTATTTGTGATGCCAAATTGATTTTTGAAAGCAGTGGACCAACCTCTTGTTCTTTTGATACCACATGACTTTATTTCTTGCTTTTTGACATACAGACATGAAATTCGGACCAAGGCTGTAATTTCTGGTGCTTAATTGAATATTTATATCAACTGGCCTTCTTTTGATATTTTGTACATTGCTTAACCTATTGTCATTATTTTGAGGTACAGTTATGATACCATATAGAATGTATAAAAAGTTTAAAACATTAACACTTTACCATCAAAATATACCCTGGTCATTTATTCTGCATTTATTCTACATATATGTAGTCTCATAGGAACACTCTTGCAACATAGATAATTTTAACAAAGTTTGACACAATATTTAAATTTATATAGTGAACAATGAAATGACGAGTCAGATGAGTGATCAAGGGCCATCTTGGCCCTATTTTTAATAATGAAGAAGAAGAAAAAATCAGTTAGTGTTGTGAAAGTATATAGATAAAGGGGGAAGTTAAAGTTTAGCTGGACTTGCCTTTAGGTAAGTTCATTTACACTGAAACACAGTTGTTTCTGGTGAGCGACCCAGGGCCATCATGGCGCTCTTTTTTTTTACTTCCAGTAATATGCAATTTTAGTGATAATTCTTTCGTATGTCAAAGGGCTAAGAACTATTCTTAATTCAATGAGAAGAACATGGTTGTTTAAGAAGAATATGCAAATAATAACTGTGAATCAACTTAGTGTCATTAATATGAAATTTTGTGTTTTCTTTGATAAATATCATTTTCATGGATACTTAAATTTGTGGACTGTTTATTTTTCCAAAAGGTAAAATGTAAATAGGTTGATGCAAAATAATCATACAGCAGATGAAATGTTATTTCATCGTATCTTGAATTTGGTGATGGACCCTTTGAAGCTGTTATTACACCAATAAAAGTTGAGCAAGCTCTTCCATATAAATATTCTAGAGCATATTCAAGGAAATATTTATGCCAACTTAAATTCAAAAGAACATCTCATGATTAATGGTCACATTACAGTGACAACTCTTGTTTAAAGCGGCATGCCTCCAAATTCATTCTAGTTTTCATGGCGATTTTGAAAATGTGTTTAAAAGTAAAATATTATGAAGAAAACCAAGAAAGTAATTCACACATTGTAAACAGCACTTACAATACAGTCCCCTCCAAAAGTTTCTGGACATATTTACAAATCATATACAATGAAAGAAATATCAATAAATTAACAGTTAAGGGAATAAATTATCTCTTTAAAACTATCTTCAACAATAACATCAAACATCAGCAAAAACAACACTTGTCAACATCTTCAGGCCATACATGTAAATAATCAGTCAAAAGTATCGGTAGCAGTTTAATTGTCCCCAAAACGTCCTCGTTCATACATTACAGTTTGTGCGTCATAATATTTGGTATGCCCTACGTGGGTTTCAATGACATCCTGTATTCTGTTAGACATGCCTCTCACAAGCCGACGAGAAAACCTTTCTCTGGGTATGGCCTCCCATGATGCCACTGCATTTGCCTCCAATTCAACCATGTTGCGACTTAATCGATTCTTAAGTCAACATTTGACATTCCACCACAAGTTTTCTATGGGATTGATGTCTGGTGATTGTGAGGACCATTGAAGACACCTTATGCAATTGTTCTCCTTCCAGTCATGAATTCATCTAGCTATATGACTTGATGCATTGTCATCCTGTAGCAAGTTATTGTCCCCATATTCAAGGAGATGGGCTGATGGCACTACAAAATTTTCCAGAATGTTCACATATCCTGTTCAATTTAACCGTCTATCAACTCTAGCAAGCATGTCCCCTTGTATGTCATGGCACCCCACACCATCACCCCACCACCTTCAAACTTCACAGTTGGAATCACACAATTATCCCTGAACTTTTTACCTTGACGCCTACGGATGTAAATAGGCCATCATTTTGAAACATGTTAAATTTTGACTCATCTGCGAATAACACGCATGACCAGTCAACCCAAGACCAGTGTTCATAACGTCTAGCAAACTCCAGACGCAGTTGGCTATGTCTGGCAGTTACAAGTGGCTTCTTAACTGCTAAATGTCCATTGAGGCCAGCGGCACTCAGTAGAAGTCAGCGTCTCACAGTAGAATTTGAAGCATTCACTCCAGCTTCCTGCCGGACCAGCCTCGGGGCAGGAACAGTTAATTTTCGGTTCTGGGGGTAGGTTCGCGCAAGTAGCCTGTAAGTCCTTACGTTGGAGACCTGGGAGCGTCCAGATTTTGGTTTAGGAGCACGGGAACCGGTCTCTTGTAGACGTTGTAGGGTCTCGTAGACCTGACCTGTTGACCTGAAATACAAAATCCATGAGAGTCTTAAAAATGGGAAAATTCTTACTTTTGTTTGCCTGAAACAACAATGCAACAATAACAGACACTTTAATTTAAGACAAAAACGTATATTAAAAAACTTAGAATGACATACCTTGACCTTCTAAGCTGGCGTGCAATCTCTGCAACAGGAACACCGTGATCCCTTATAATCTCACAGCATAATTTCTTCTCCTGTGACAGCATTCTTCTTTGTCTGTACGTACACTTCACTTTATGGTTAATTGAAATGTACAAAAAAACAACATTTGTTTAAGGGAAAAATCTTTTTTGGAGGGGTCAAAATATGCAAAACTAGCCCTTACTGGGTCAGTCAAGCAGTATAAATGTGGTGACAAATACTGCAAAGTCAGTCATTAATTGCACATAACACGTAAATTATCAGTTAAATCTAGAACCATTTTACTTTTCTTAAAATTGTACTACATTTTTGTCAAGTTTTAAAAAAAAGTATATTTCGGCTTATCTGGAGGTTTTAATTATATCCTTTTTTTCTTGGTCAAGGTATAACTCTAAAGCTATTCATGGGATTCATGATTGACTCAAAAACATGATCAATGGGAGAACATTGACTTAAACTATAACTTCGATCCATGGGGAAACATTAACTTAAATTATTACTATGATCAAAAGGGAAAAATTATCTTAAACTACTACTATGACCAATATGGGAACATTTACTAAATCAATAAGGGAACATGTACGTAAACAATAACTATGATCAAACGGAGAACATTATCTTCAAATATTCCTATGATCAAGAGGGAAACTTAACTAAAACTAGTACTATGATCAATAGGGGAACATTAACTTGAACAATTACTATGATCAATAGGGGAGCGATAACTTAAACATTGACTATGATCAATATGAGAAATCTATTTTAAACTATTACTATAATCCATAGGGTAAGATTGATTCATACAATAACTATGATCAACAGAGGAACATTATCTAAAACTATTATTTTGATCAAGAGGAGGACATAAACTTAACAATGATCATTAGAAGAATATTATCTTAAACTATTCTTATGGTCAACAGGAGAATATTATCTTAAACAGTTACTATGAGAAATAGAAGAATATTATCTAAAACTATTCCTATGATCAATAAGAGAATATTATTTAAAACAGTTGCTATGATCAATAGGGAAATATTATCTTAAACTATTCATTTGATCACTAGAAAAATATTATCTTAAACACTTACTTATGATGTGCCCCCTTCTGTTTTGGGGGTTAGAATGGGGGGCGGTAGTCCCCCTCATCCAGACCTGGGGTAATCACTAATCGTAATCATCGATTTTTTAATTGATTACATGATTACACTGTAATCATCATGTAATTGATTACCTTGCTCAAAATTGATTACATTAATTGTAATTAATCAATTACAGCTTTAAATTTAGTTCCAGTTTAAATTTTGATTAGAATTAGATTTTATGATGAAATTTCTATCAGATTTGACATTGAAAAATATTTAAAAATTCAAATAATTTATTATTTACACATGTTTACAGTTTAACTAAAGGGAGTTAAAAAATCAAGTGAGACATTTTTTAAACATCACCACAATGAAAAAAAAGTTTTTAAACCATACAGTTAACCAAAATTTTAATGAAAAAATAGACATCATTTTTTTGGGTGGATTTTAAACCAAAAAAATTTGAATTTATTTATTTTTTGAGTTTTTTAATTTTCCTTTAAAAAGATCTGGAAATTTTACAGCACAGTGCAAATTGTTCCCCATTTAAGATTTATGGAAACCCCAAATCACATTCCCAAAATTTTGTTTTCCCAAAATTAAAGGGGGAATTTTTAAATTTTGTTTTACTTTTTTTGGGGAAAAACCCTGTTTTAAAAAGTTTCAAACAATGTGGATAACTTCTTTACTTTGTATATTCTAGAGTTTATGTCAGATGCATATAACCATATTTTAATTATATGCAACAGTTCTTTTGTAAGGTGATAGACAATGTGTCTATATTATAATACTGTTGTACCATTTAAGTGTTTGTAAAAAAACTGATAATTTCTTTGTAAAGTCTATTGTCTCTTTGAATTCCCGTATAAAAAATTATTGTTTTCACACCTGTTTTACACCTGTATACAGCATACTGTACAATTGACACTTTTAAAAATTTCTGTTGCAGAGAGTTCATTATGAAACCTACACCAAGAAGACTGAGGACCATTCCTGCATCATTGGCCCTTGTAGAGCGTTTGTTTAGTGTTGCGGGTAAAATTTTCCGTCCTGATAGATGCTGTCTGACTGATAGACGGTTTCATGAACTTACGATGCTAAAGTGCAATGCTAAAATATGATAAAGTGAAGTGACAGTAACTAAAAGTGTGTTAAAATGATGACTGTTGATGAGCTGGAAATCCTTTGTGTATATAATGTATATAATGTAAATATTAAATAGCATTAAGAAACTTTTGTTTATAGTCATACATGAAATGGAAAAGGAGAACAATAATTAAACTAAATTCATATGATTTATAGAAGTAATATAATTTTAAACAATTACTATGATCAATAGGAGAATATTATCTTAAACAATTAATATGATCAATAGGGGAACAAAAACTATAACTATGATCAATAGGAGAACAATAACTTAAAACTATTCATATGATTTTATAGAAATAATAATAGAGGATATTCAAGTTTTTTCTATAAATACATGATTTATTTTCATCGATGTGGTATGAAAATAAAAATATTTCCTGAGTGGCGGTAGCCACGAGTGAAATATGGTAATTTTTTTCATGCCACAAGATGAAAAAAATAAATCATGTATTTATAGAAAAAAAAACTTGAATTTTCTGTTTATTATGTACATTTTCTCTTTTTTGCGATAAAATTTGAAAAACTTTCCCTTAAATTTTGTGTACTGGTAGAATTTAAAAGAAAGTAGTCCGGCAAGACACCAGTGAAATAACGGAAAATATGTTTCACTGCGGGGAAAATAGAATTTTTACAGTGAAAATACAGCAATGAAAATACCAATTTTATTTCATCAGTATTTCTCAATATTTCATTTATAAGTATATAATAAAATCTTAAACAATTACTATGATCAATAGAATAATATAATCTTAAACAATTACTATGATCAATAGGAGAATATTATCTTTTAAAAAATTAAAAAATGATCAATTAGGGGAACTAAACTATAAAATATGACCAAAAAGGGAGAACAATTATTTAAATTAAAAATATTCATAAAGGGGTTTTTAGAGGGAAAATTTAAACCCTTAAAAAAATTACTATGACCCAAAAAGGAGAATATTATCTTAAACAATTACATGCCCTTCAAAAGGAAAAACATAAACTTTTTTACTTAAAAATTTTACTATTTAAATAAGTCTTTTTTCCAAATTTGGGCTTTTCTCCTGTGAACATTTTTAAAGAACTTTTCCAACAAATTTACTTAATATATAGAAAAATTGAAACATTAGTGAATGGCCAATGGCCCTTCAGAATGTTTATGGGGTTCTAACCGGTAGGGGACTTATGGATTGCTTGCAATACTATGATAATTGCTTGTTATTTCAGTCGTTTACAATGATGGGAGTGAAAGGGAGTTATCGATTCTAAATTCTTCCCGTAGTCAACGGGCCTAAGATAATTCATCTGTTAACTTTTAATCTCTAAGCAGTGATTTAATCTACCCATGCAACCAGTGCAGACCAATATCAGCAATGATGGCACATCCAGTCTGCACTGTTTTCTTTAAATTTAGTCAGGACATATTTTGGAATTTTTCCCTAAAAATGATGAGTGGTTTTGCCAATACTAAAAGATAGACAAGTCCATTTAAGATATTAAGTGGCGGAAGGGTTAAATTCACTTTCATAACAGGTTTGATGATAAGTTTCCAGGGTGTCGATTCTGTATAAACAGTTGAGGAACAATTACGATATCAAATGTTTGCATATCTCAGGTAAAGCCTGAATGGCCCGTATTGATCATTATAATAAATAGTGTCATAGAACCGAGATAGTTGTGTGCCGATTGCGCGACCCACTCGGAAAGACCATTTTTACATTCACTAGAGAACTATTGATGTTTGTATTTCTGATTGATTATCACTTGCCGGACAACTAAACTATTTTGACGGGTTCGCAAATGTTTTTGTTGACTCTCCAATTGACAGCAGCTGTTTTTACAGCGTAAAAAAGTGAATGATAATACTGTACAATTAATCGCCTAATTTTTTTCTATAAAAAGAATAGCGCTTGAAAAGAATACGTATTGAAAATGCGAGTCAAAAAAATTATTTTTTTTACTTTGGTAGGTTTAACCTATAGCATGATATCTCCAGGAGAAAAAAGAATCGATTTCATATAATTTGAATATCTTTGAAGTTCTTAAGAAAGTTTATGTCAGAAAAAAAAGTATGTATGCAGAATGAAATATTATTAACACATTGATTTATTTATTCTGGTCTGCAAGACTTGATCTGAAACTTATTCGGAATGAAAATTCATTGTGACTGTTTCAAAAGAATGCACACCCCACTTATCATAGTTTTGAATTATATATCCGTACCTTTTTGTAAATTTGCTTCAATTTTAATGTAGAATAAAGGGAGACAAGAAGTTGCAAGCATTTTGATTTTTGACTTATAAAAACACTGAAAAATACATGGATAGGTAATATCATTTATTGGTGTTTTTTTTTTACAAAAACAAAAAAGATATATTCAGGACTGCTGATCAAGATGGCTGCTATATCTTAAAACAGAAATGAACTTTAATCAACATTTTCTGGACCGTTGGGTAAATTTTGTTTAAATTCATTTGAAATTATCTTTGAGTGATACTTGTGTTAAAAAGTTGATTAAAGCATACAGTCTGCAGAATAAGATGGCTGCCTACATACCAATTTTAGAAATACAATTGAACTGAATGATTTAATTTTGATAAATCATCCGTGTGAACTATTAAAACAATGTTTCTAGCCAATTATCGATATATATAGTGAATTTTTTTATACCTTTATGCAAATTGTGTAAACTTCTCTAAAATCATCTATTTTGTACAATCAACATTTATTTGAGCCTGTTTAAAATTTGCAAGCAATTGTCTGTCATTCTAAAACTATGCTGTTTTATGGATAATGATCAATAAGTTTTCAACAGGTGTTTATGAACTACTGAGGGAGAAGTTTTGTGCAGCAGAAAATCAGCGAAATTCTTTTACAACAATAACAAATGAATATGCACGCTTTAATTGAAAATTGTTATTATTATCTAAAAGACCATATTTTCAAAAGAATGTGTGAAATATCAAATATGTTAAAGTTACAAATGTCTAATTTTTTAATATTAACAGATGTCATTACCGGCAGAATAAATGTGACTTTTTCTCTTTGTCTAGTTAATTATGCTAAAAGTTTTATTATAATTTAAGTAGGTTATAATGTCAAATAAGCTGTCTGTACTTAAATTGTTAAATCTTATGACTGATAAAATATGCAAGTGATGATTGTTGTTATCAATTCCATGTTGCTATGTTACATTATTTTGTATAGAAACCTGATTGATCATTTTGTTATTTATGGAACAAAAAGTTAACATTCTATTGGTCAGTGTAAAACGAAACCATTTTTAGAATTTTTGTAAAGATAGAAAAATTGGACAGATAGACTTTGGATTTCCAAGAGATAACATTGTGACTTTCCACTAAAATATTTGTTACTGTTTATAATGCCTATTTGTAAAAGTTATGCGCATATGTTATATATTATTTGTGATATTCCATAAAGGAACGACCATTTAACTAAAACGCGACATCGTGTTAGTGATTCAATCCAACCTTAGTGAAACAAAATTTAGGGCATAAAAGTACACTTGGGATTATCTCCGTCTCCTTTACAAAAGAAAGCAAGAAACCTATTGATACAAAATTTCAAAGTGCGCCGAGATGAAGTAGCAAAAAGCACTGTTGAACGACTTTGGGGCCTAAGCGTTAGATATATTTTAGTTGTTTTTGGAATTAAATTGAAATCAAATTAAAAGTCATAGGATCTTAATATCTTAATAAAAAAAGATCTTCAAACAGTATAAAGCCGTCGATAAGAAGGTCCCATTTGGATTTTTGTCAGTTGAATTATCGCCGATTGTACTAAATATTTTGGCCGTATCAGGGCAGTCGATCCGTCTAAATAGCTTAACTGGATAATGAACCAGTATTCACAAATTCCTCCACCAACGACCATTTCCTAATTCGATAACATTCTCTGTCAATGTTGATCATTTAAGATTGATTTTATGCTTTTTAAGAATGATAAACACTACCGAAACTTAACGTATTGTTAAACTCTCATAATAGGGAATCGTACCAATTTTGAGTTCACTAATTACTTTAAGTTTTACGTATCGAACGAGTAAATTACATCTATATAAACGTATGGGTAGCGGTTCGGAGTTCGACAGACTAATGGCTAAAGATAATATTACTTTTTCAAAGGTCATAATTTTAACCACCATCCTGCTGGAACGGAAAATGAAAAGCATTTAGCCAAACAAGCTACACATCCGTGCAAGTTGAACAGACTCTACACTGCTGGTTCCTCAGTTTCGTATTTTGATAAGGAAACTCCCTTGGTATTCAAATGGACAGTTATTTATACAAAGCAGGGAAATCTTTTACACAAATTCAACAGGATAATTTAACTAAACATTATTTTAAAGCAAGTACAACAGAAACGCTCGTTTTTCGGTGTTATTTTGCTTTTATTCACTACACATGATAAATTAATAGATAATTTGAGTTAGTTTACACTCCTGATCAATACATGATATAATACTTAAAATGAAAGCATATACTCTAGTACATAAGGAAATGTTGAATACAATTCAATCATACTAATGGAAAAATCATTCAGACACAAATTCTGATCTTTTGCTTTAACTAGATAATTAAAGAGTTAAAATAATTGTAGAAGTTTATGTAATCATTAAGAACATACATAATTTTTCAACGATTCAGTACATTTTCTAACTTTTAAGTATGATAATAAGAGTTATTATATAATAGTGAGTAAGACTAATGGATGTTGCAATATCAATTGCATTCAAATGCCATCAAAATGTTGATTGTCCACGACAGAAAATGAACGGAATGCTTTACAAAATTAAGATATATAATATACAAAAGCAATCTTTAGCAATATTATGAAAGGATTGTGATATTAACGCAATGAGCTTCAAGCAATAAAACAAAACAATAATTATGTTACATGCATTCTGTATATATGATTACTCTAACTCCCAAACAAATTAAACAATAAAAAAAGTATATATGTCTGTTTTGTGTTCTGATTTAGTTTGGTTATATTCTAACCAAGAAAATCGACAGATTTTAGCATAATTTCGCCGGACTCCTTGTCAACGACTTTTACAACAATCTCGGTACCTCCAAAAATCAAACTTATTCCAAATTTATGTTTTCTTCCAGAGCTTGTGTCAGAAATAGGCACCTTTAATTTTCCAACCAAACTGCATCCATCTTCTGTAGTAAGCTTCGGGTTTCTTGAGGAGGATGCATATACATCGAAAGCAATGACAGTTTGATCAGCGTTTATAGGATTGCATATTTCTTCTGGTTGTTCCTCATCCACCTTGACTGACTGCCCTGCTTTTACATAAATGCTAAAGATATCATAACATCGTAATTCACCATTATTATCCTTTTCAACCCTTCCTTTAGGATGATTGCAACTATCTTTGTACGTATGAGTTGTTTTATACCCATATGTATACTTGCATATCCTCTCCATTATTGTTGTAGGCTCATGACCAAAGATGACAGCTCCTTTTAAAACTGCTAATCCTGCATCGCCTGGAACGATAACTCTCATATCTTTAAAGGAAGTCTTCACATTCTCTTGCAGCATAGGTGATTCGGAAAACCCACCAACCATTAGGATGGCAGCACAGCCCTGAACAACAGGTTTGGTAAGTAAATATGCAACATGGCTGATTATTCTGCGAACGGTTGGTTTGAAAAATTCAGCGAATACTTCAGCATTAATTCTCAGCTTTTCGCCCACAACTTTGATGTTGCTGCTGAATTTTGACTGTTGAAATAATTCTTTTAAGTCAAGTCCAGCCATATCTTTACAAAGTTTAGAAAGGGAAGGTATTATACGCATCGTCACTTTTCCATCTAGTTTGGTCGGAGAAATTTGTCGTTTGTCTTTTTCAAAGTTACGATACAGTTCGAAGTAATCATCCAAATGATCTGTTTTGAATTTTGCAAAAATTCTAGCACCTGAAATACATGTTTTTTAATTTAATTTTATGTGGTATCAAATATGTCTTTTGACATTTCATATGTAGCACCTATTATGAGAGTGGCATGTCCGAAATATTAAATAGGTCTTACACGACAAAAACTATAAAATATAGTAGAATAGTACCTGTAACAACTTTTAATTGTTTTGATTTTGTATCAAAAGTAGCATTTATGAATATTTTATACATGTTATAAATCATATATTCTACAAATTCTATTTAGCATTATTTTATAATTTCACCTCTAAGTTCTGTAGAGATTTTTTATTACAAGATGAATTATTTGGGGGAACTGATTTCTATCAATAAAATATTTGAGCTTACCAACAATACTTGTAAGGAACGCTTCATATGCTTCGTCTACTTTAGTTCCGCCCCAAGCACCTCCGCTTGGTTGATGAAGTTCCTTCAAGTTTCCCTGGTCGTTCACTTCATGAACAGTTATGTCAACTGTACCACCTGTAATAGCCATTGAAATACAACTCTCATTCGATAGAATATCCCAAATGGTATTTCTTTCCAAATTGAATAATTTCATTTATAAAAACATATTGTCTTAATCTGGAAATGTGTTAAACGACAGAGCTTACAGAAGTATAATTCACAAAATTACCTCCTGCATCCAAAACAAGATACTTTGTTCCTGATGAAAATTGACCAAGTGATGTTTCTTCTTTGGATACTGGAAGATGACGACAATACACCGAGGCTGCTTCTGGTTCAAGACATATGGTAAGGTTCTCTTCTGGAATCAACGCCTTTTAAAGCAGAAATATCATTAGACCGTCTGGAGCAAATGTTGGAAGCAGGTACAATAGTTATATAATTTCCAATGTCTAGAATATTGCAAAAATATGTAAATGGTTAAAAAAAAACGGTATAGCATATAATTGATATGTGGGGTTAATATATAAACCAATCGTGTTAAAACAAGGTAAGGGTTTTTCAAAGTGTTCAAGTTAAAGTACCACACCTTACTTTTAGTATCTAAAATAATGAGATTTTATCAAGACAACTTGTACAGATACATGCTGTACTTTCAATCTGTTGCATAATCATTTATATTAATTAACTCATAACAAATAGCACATGTACAATACATTTACACTAATAAAATACCTTCTGTGCTGCCTCTCTCATAAACTGTTTAGCTGCATCGTTCCATATTGCAGGAACAGTAAGAACCCATTGTACATCAGAAACATCGATACGCGTGCTAACCTGATTGTTTAGAGTATCAAGAACATCCTTCATCAAGTACTCAATAGATAACGAGAAAACCTGTAGTGCCGGTAGCTTCTTACCAGTCTCATCTTCGATTGTATCACGTCTTGTCATGCCCTGTGAGGTAAATGTAAACATTGTACTTTACAAGATTTCAAATACATTTTTATGTAAAAAATGGTTAGTCTAATTAACTTTAAAAAGTGAAGAAATTGTCACCTCCGGGGCATTCCGCTAATGTTTCATGCTGTAAGCAATAAATGAAAACAAATGTTCAAATTAAAATTTCAACATGATGCACCAGGGTACTTAGTGACAATCACTTTGTGAAAGTCTAATTCCAGCACTATGAGACATGTTTGAGGACTTGAGCACGGAATAATTTGTTGACGTAAGCATATACCAAGATTGAAACCAGATATATCCATAGGAAAACAATGAAGTTTTCGCAGGAAGTACAGCCCCAATCAAACATAATCTGTAATTTGCATGTAATTATGTTGTGATTAATGCTTCCGAGGGATCACTCTTTCTTCAGAAATGTTCCATATTGTCCTGTCTGACTAGCGTAGGGGCTACGTACAAAGAACGTACCTTTTCCTTGTTGATATTTTCTTTCATATTTTATGCACATACACACCACATTATTATATTTCTTTGTTTTGAATGTAAGATGAAAATATATTTAAGTGAGCGAACACCAGATGCAATATTTAAATGAGTGGCGTAGCCATGAGTAAAAATAGAATAGCAGGTGTTTATGAATGAAATATATTTCAATCTTATATGTAAAACATATAAATTTTCTTTTTATTTCATGCTTTTTTAGTGATTTTTTTACTGATTTCGCCGCGCAACGTCGCGCATTCTCCTTTAAGACGTCATAACATCATGACGTCACATCATCAATTTTAAAATATAGTTCTGATAAATCTCTCAAATTTTGTTACATTTAAGCATGATAAATGATGACATCGATTTTCTTTCTTAAAGAAAGAACATTTACGTATGACGGCATTCATGTTTTCTGTTATTCCATTTAGCTATAATATTCTTTTCATCCGCATTCAGATATAGTTCGGCTACAGTGAAAATTATATTTTATAAATTTCACTAGTGGTTTATCAGAATATAATCATCTGATACATTACACTCAGTAAAACACTGGAAAGCATGAAATAAAGGTAGGTAAATGTTTCAATCTATGTTACCTCACACTAACCTCATCTTTAAAAAGCATCATTTTAAATCTTTTAAAGAAAAACCATTGATGTTGTTCTTTCTCTTCACATATTTCTGCATATTTATCTTCAGCATTATAACCAAATGAGTCTGTTGTTTTTCCGTCAGATTTGATTAGAATGCAGGTTGGAACTGGAAAACAATCTTTTTGATTGTACGTACAAATTTGTAAAAAACCGTTTTATCATAGTAATCCTTTGATTATGATCGAAACAATTTGTTGCAGATCGAATTTGACATGATGATAATAGTAAACCTAATTGTTATTCAGAATTCCTCAATGAATAAAAATTACAGTTTTTGATTTCCAAGTTGGACCCTGATCTTCCAAATTAATGCATAAGCTTTATTTTATGGATAAACGTTGTTAAAATCACATATCATATGATATCTATAAGCATTTTTGCCATACATAGAAGCCATATAGTTACAAATATACAAAACAACAAAAAAAAACTGAAACACTACGATGAACATTGTAAGGGCGCCCGTGGTCGTTGACTTCAAATGAATGTTGCTCATCGCTGTAAAGTATCCGTGCAAAGAGGGGCATATGAGGTCTTCATTCACCAGTAAAGCTGGAAAGTCGACATATGACCTTTACAGTGTTGGTGCAGCGTTAAACACAAACAAATTAATGAATAAAGGAACAAATTATTAGTAATTAAAACGTTTTAGATTTTTTATAATAACATCATATTAACCAATGATAGGTTGATATTTGTCTTCACCCATTTTCACTTGGCTTGAATATCACATCGAGCAGAAAATGTTGTTAAAAAGTAACATCAGGTTATGATGTACACATCCTAGTTCTTAAATTTGTGTTAACTGACAGTAACAGTAGGATACCTTTAAGTGATAAAGTATTTCCCTGAAACATCTTTGCTGATATTTTGAGGGGATCTCGTTCATACTCATGCCTGTATGAAAACGCCCATCCCGAGTAAGTTGTCCCGAAATCAATGGCAACAACAACTAATCGATTCATTGCCTGTTGTTAAAAAATAAAATGTTAAATCTATCTTAAATTTGAGATATAAGCATTGCAAAATATAACATTTCAATAGCAAGTATTGAGAAAGACATGTCAATAATAATTCAGGCAATTGAAATTGACAATTGTTTCATAATGAAACAGATCTTCTTAAAAAACAAACTGTTTATAATACAGTAGAAAAAATATTCAATAAACATTATTGCTTGAAATATTTAACTTGACTTGCTTCGTGTTGTTTCAAAAACATTTTTTCAAAGTGAACCTATTTCAAGGCATACGTGTTTAGGTAATTCAGTGCATCTGTCACAATATATTTACAAATCCATTAGACTCTTTAATCTGTCGCAATAGAATTACTATGACATAAAAATGTAATAACCTATCATAGGAATGTTCTCCCTCTTTTAATTTTCAATTATAATATTCAAATATTCATATCATAGTACATAACTTGATAAATAAAAGGATAATATCTTAATTATGACAAGTATATTTGTATGTTAAGATTTTCCAGTAAAACGTTTTTGCAAGACGAAAAGGAGTGAGGAGTGCTAGTGCATAATACGTAGGAGAGAGAAAAGACAAACGTACGGAAAGAGAGGAAAGATGCATGAATTATGAGCAGATCTAGGGATGATTATATATTACACAGTAATTGATTTAATTACATTCAGATTTTATTGTAATTGATTATAATTAATTACTCAGACTTACCTCTGTAATCAGTTAAATTACATAAACTTTAACTGTAAGGGAGAAATTAATTGATAATTGATTGCACTCAAAGTATAACTGTAAAACAAAAGTAAAACTGTATCATGTGACATAAAGGCATCCTTTTAATTTAAATAGTTGTCTGTTAAATTTGATAGTAACGTAAAAACTCTGAAAACCAGAATCCTCTGAAAACTGGACGATTTTAAAAGTCCTGTATATCCTCCTGATAAGTTCTTTGAAAAATCCTCTCAATAACGGACCTTTGAATTCCGAAATCCGGACGATTCTGTATGGCTACTAATGATTAACATGCATAAAAAATCCATTGAAAACTCAACAGCAATTCAAGTGTTAACTTTCTTTATATTTTAATGTTGACTAACATATACTCCAAACAGATGACAAGTTGAATTAACAGTTAATGGTCACATGATATAGTTTAGGGGTGTTTAAAAAATAAATAAAGACCCTCTTTTTATTTCAAAATTTCCTACTTGTCTATTGGGACTAAACGCATTAGAAATTTGAATTGAAAACTACGAAGATTAGTGTCTATTATAGACTTAAAAGGTATATCTAATATTGATTTCCAATCAATTTCATTGTCACTAAAATGTTTTCCCGGTTAGTTTTTCAACAATTCTTGCATTCCTATGAAGTTTATACAAGGATTGATTTGGTGACTTTGTTTTTTTCAAGTTCTTCTGTGAGAACATTTTTTTTTATTTCTAAAGAAAAAAATTGCTAAGAAATAGTTTTTTATCTTGTGTCTCAAGATTAAGAATTTGTTTTTCATAAAGGGCTTTGTACGAAAATCAAAGAGTTGGTCAATAAAATGTATGCCTTTCCAAGCCATCTTTTCCAGTTTATTGTATTTTGTTGTAATTTTATCTCAGTATTGTTTTATATGAAATGTTTTCTAACTTCAATTTTATCTAAAACAACTTCTACGTAAAACCATGAAATAAAAATATCGCTTTAAAATGTTTCTGTTTTACAAATTTTTGAAACACCCTGGAAACTTAAATTTCATTCAAAAATTAATTTACCACCAATTGGTCTTTAAGTTTAAATAGTCTGAAAAACACTTCACAGAGCCGATTGCTTTCATTTGAAATCCATTTCTTTTCCCAGCAAGTTTTAAAAGAAGACAGAAATGACTTTATGCCATTTAATTTCAATCCTCTTACATCGCAGTTGTATACTTAAGATTTGCTCTCACATTTCTCACAATATATTTACTATTTAAGAAAGCAAACCATATACATTTAGGAAATACGTACACCTAAGAGGATAACGTTCAAATATAACATATTATTTTCAAATTTCAAAAGTTTAAAAGTTATCTTAACGTGTAATAAAGTTTACTTACTTAACGATCGATCCGCACTGTCTATGCCCAAATTATCAAATGGCGCAGTTCGAAAACTTTTGTCTGTACTTGTAAGAGCATATCTTGTTATCTTTCTTTCTTGGTATTGTAATCATAGGATGTTGATAATACGAAGGCCAAAAGGCTTGAAACCATCTAAGTTCAGAAGTGCGGATTGGCTTGCTAGCTGTCACTTTTGAATTGCAATAACATCAGTAATCATCAGTTTACAGGAATAACTTTGATTCAACTGAAAATACCATATTCAGCTTTCCTTTTGGTGCTGTTTGCTTTGCCCGTTTGCCCCGTTTACGTACAGTACCAAAAGGATGCCATTTTATTGAGCCTGATCAGATGTATGCATACTGTCGAATGTTGTATTTGATTCTTTCCGTTCAAGACGTCACTCTCATATTTGATGGAATTAAACTCAACTATATCGTGTTTTTAATAGCGCTTTCTTGAAATCAATGTACAAACAGCGAGTCAAATTGAGAAAAATAATATTTTATTCTTTTTAAGAGCAATTTCCAATACTGTCCACTATTTTCATGGCATATTGGTCTTAATGTTATACACATAAAGCTTATGCAGACAGGTATATTAGGAACAACACTTATAAAGTGGAAGGACATAGGGCGCAGCCTTTTTTAAATTATATCTTAGAAATCTTCTTTGGTTGTTTGGAATATACTATATTCTATATCTTATCAAACTTTTTTACTCATTGTCATTTACTTATTCTTTTTAAATTAAATACTTTGTCTACAAATAAAACAAATGCTTTTAACCTTTACATACACCATGTATGCAAAGGATATCGACCGAATACTTTTAGTTCAGGAAAAACTTGGTTATTTATTTCATGTTATATCAAAAGCACGTTACGCACAAGGTGTTTCACTATATTGGTGACCAGGTATTTCAGAACGATGTATTAGGCCGATATCGAACTTATACACCGTATCAAGTGGCTTAAGCAATGGATAACGATAACGACTCAGGTGATATTCGTCTATGTTGATAAAGAGGGACAAAACAAGGTTAAACTTCCTTTCTTGGAATGTTGTCGTAAGATAATTTGAAGGTCGAAAACCTTCGAGAGATACTAAAATCGCCTGCAAAAATATCGGCTAGTAATGAGTAAGCTAACAAAAACTTGAAAATGACAAATACGCGAAATTGAATCAGACTTTTATAGCACACTATTTTGCATAAACGTTTAGATGACAATTCATTTTTTGACTGAACATCCTGTACTAGATGCTAACCTTTATAAAATTTAGACGGATCTCAAAACAACTAGTTTACCACTTTAATCTGATCCTTTAAGGACACGACTGATCCTTTTGACCATCGAGGAAATGTCATCTTTTGTTCATAATTATAATACTAAGCGATACCTTATCAATAGGTATGTAGAGTTTGTATGCAATATGATCACGATCATTTTCAAACGAGACGAAATGTATCTGATCGTTACAATAAGATACGTGCTTACGCTTTAGTAGATGTTACGAAATTTAACTTAAACGACACGCTTTATTGCAATTGCATAGTATTGTGAGCATAAACGCTTTCACGATCAGGATCAAATATGTACATAGATTTAGAGACGTGTATACAAATTTGGTTTACATAAGCAGTTTTTGTACTTTTAAGTCTGATTTGGTTTTGGAATGACAATATGGTTGCAACCAATTTGTTGTTGTAAGTGTAGATTCTTACGCGGACTTTCATTTAGACAACCTTGTCTTCTTTGCCATTCAGTCCCCCTATGATGGAATTACTTTAAGAGTTTAAAGCAGTTTCTTCTGAAAAAGTTTAGATCGCTGAATAGGACTCATATCTTATTGGTAATTAGCAACATAAACTTGTTATCTTATTAATTTTGTTTTGCCATGAGCCACTTTAAAATTGATAAATGTGTTCCTAAGATAATTTTTTATCGAGTGATACTCAGAAAGGAAGTAAAACCTAGTTTGATTTCGACTTAATAAAATGATTGAGAACCAGACATGAAGTTATTTGTAGTTTCTTTTGTAGTGAAATTATGGTCGATCCCTCACGCGAATCATAATACCCCCCCCCACCCTCACTCATTCTCGTTTTTTGAACGTGAAATATTTACGGCTGCAAACCATATACTGAGGTTATGTCAAAAATACCAATCGATATAAATTTCATAATTATAAGTAGCGTGCTACTTTGGTCTTGTTTTTAAACTGACTTCTTGTTGATCATATTTCAGTAAATATTTAATTTATCAATCTAAGTCAAACTGGATAACAAGCACGCATACTTTTAATTTGTCCTTTTTACCCTTTAATTGATTGCTTTGATATACATATCTACAAATATTGAGACATTATACTGTTTGTAAAAGGCAAGCAGACTAGTGTAACATTTACATCAACACTATTGTCATAACGAAATTCAAACGGCATCATCATTACACAATAAAACTAAAAGAAGTCACACTCCAAGGCCAATTACTCTGACACGGAGCTTTACAAAATTGTGGTCATTTTTAAAGTTCTTTATACAATTACATGCAACATCAACTTTAAAACTACTGAGATATCTACAATTAACGTAATACATTTTTTTGTCGGATCATAATATGTCATACGTCATAACTTCACTGTCAACGGCCCTTTTATAAACATAGACAGTCTTCGGTCAATGTCATAAAAACTTGTCATTTATTTTTTAAAGTCATCTTCCTTTTTGGTTAAGTCCTTCGTTATCTTAGTTTTTGTTTTACTATCAATACTGTAAATGGTCTGGTGCACTGTCCTACCGACAACTGTCGTTACATTAATTGCATTGCTTAATAAGGTTTTCTCTTTTCTCAGATTTAAAGCAAAAATCAAAAACTTCATTATTAATTATTTATATACTTTGACCAAGATCTTACGTTGGCAGAGATGTCGGTTATCATGTTTGAAGATTACAGTTAATACAGTTATCAGTATCGTCCAATCCAGTGACCTTCCATTGAAACTGAATATTGACAATTACTGATAATTTCAGCTACATGTACTTGGAGATTACTTTCAGAAAATAGGTCAAACGTAAGTTTTACTTCCTTTCCAAGAATTGCGTGTATATTAAATGTCGTTGCAAAATAGTTATGGATTTTTGGAATTTAAGCGTATGCATAGTATGCACAAATATGACTGACTAATGTATGAATACACATTATTTAGAAGCATTGATTAATGTTAATAAAATTTACCATTGATTTTTGTTGCCAAAAGTCCAAATTCCCCCTCCCCCACAAAAAACATATTAGTTTAATTTTTAAAAGCCTTTGTTTCATATTACAGTTTTTAAAAAAAGTAACTCCATCAAATTTAGCGTTTTTAAATTTAGTACAGTTATAGGGATTTAAAATATTTTGTCTGAAAGTAAATACAATGTATATATAATTTATTTACATGTTGCTACTTTCATAATAAATTATTACACATGCAGTTTTAACAGGGTAAATGTACCTTTAATTATCTTGATAAAAAACCACTTTTTTTTCTTTAAACTTTTTTTTCTTCTCTGCTTTAATTCGTCTCGCAATTTTACGGAACAAATTTGATTATCAAAAGAAATGATCACCAAGTGTGATCCATTTACTATCCAAAGTTACACACGACATGTCAGAATATGAAAAAATAGCCCATTCGAACATGTCGAAAAAAGTAATTTGGTAGAATTTTGAATGACCGTTCGTGCTGTCATTTGAATGTAAAATATTAAGACTTTTGCTAACCTTTTTACGTATTTTAAACATTTGGGTTGTCATTTAAATAATAGATTCATGTATAAGTTTTTCAATCTTTCAAAATTGTCAACGTATTTTTATCAGTTTTATTTTGAGTTTCTACGATTAAAGATAACGAATCCTAAATTTAGTTATACACATTATTTAACGGTGATTTAAGCCTTAACGTTAAATAAGTACAAACCCAAAAAATATAAAGAAATGCGTTAACTTCGTGCTGAATGTTTTTCAGTGACATTGTTCGGCAGATATTTAACGTGTCCGAGCTTCTGTCTTATAATTCAGGTAGCGTTTGAACTATGCAAAATTATAGCTTTGACTATTATAATATATATAATTTTCCTCAGGCTAGTTTGCGTTATGATTGGTATAAATGATTCTCAAATGATTTAAATAACAGTAAAATTAATGGGAATTAATAAAGATACGATGTTCAATATAACTCAAACAGTTTACTTTATCGAGTCAATGTCTTCTATTTATAACACAACCAATGGGAAATACTATATCACTTTATGATTTGTTTATAAGCATTATTTCTTAGTTGATTTATACATCAACCTATAAGAATCACTTTACATTCTATATGTTTAAACGTCTATCTTATCTCACTAGCGACCCGTACAACTAAAATATACAAGAAAAGCATTGATGCAAAGCATCAAAGGGCGTCCAAGCAAGAAATGCAGAAAGTGAAGATGAACTAGTAGACATATGATGACAAGATATTTTTATAAACTTTTCAATGGTTAATTGGTTTTTACCAGAATGAACGGACGAAAGACATTGTTCATTATGAACTTTGATTGGCATGCTAGAGATTAGAATATTACTTGTTATTTCTTTATGATCTTGATTATTAATAGCAACGGATATACATGTATGCAATCATTTATAATCCATATACATGTGTAACGCATGATCAACACCACACTTGTGGAATTGTCTCTTATTATGTTATCGCTCCCAAAAATATGACACTGGTTATATTACCATGTTGATCATGTTGAGCATAATTGTTTATTATACAATAATTGTAATATCTATTTTAATATAAAAAATACAGATTTTATTAATATTGTTTTCCTCTCTTTTTTCGTGTTTTATGTGCTATTTTAATACTAAGTTTTCACGTTTACTACTCTTTTTTTTATTAAAATTGTAAAATAAATTTTAAGAATTCAATTGTCATATTGACCGACTATTATAAGTCAAAACTTAACTGGAAAAAGTCAGTAAATTATGCTTAATCTTTCAATATAT